AAACCAATCAGACAATAGGACAACTGTGGAAATTCAGGCTAATTCAAGTGGCCTTCCTGGGCCTGTCACTCTTACTCTCTCACTTTCTCAGAGGAAGCGCCTCTGGCGATCTGAGTCACCTCTCTTGGCCTTTGGGGCCATAATGATTTTAAACTCAGAGCAAGGTGAGTGCTGGGCCCCCATGACAGATAGCTGGGGGCTGAGGTTGCTCCTAAGAGACTCAAGAACAAACTTTGGCTTGAACACAAGGGACAAGGGTAGCTGACTGTACCTCCTTCTCAGATGAGTGACATATGACTACACTTTGATGCCAGCGTCTTTGAATAAAATAAAACAACCAAACTAAAACAAGACAAGAAACCTTCAAGACCCGGGCCTCACCTCACATTGGCCGAGTCAGGGCCAGCGGTGTGATACAGGCCCCTTCCCTAACAAAGCCCTGCTCTTAACACCTTCATGGAGTCAGAGCTGTGAACCAGTTGGATCCAGTCAATCAATAGTGCAGCAACCGGGGTGGGAATTATAAAACCTTATCTCTCCAACTCCTGACACATGCAGCAACCGGGGTGGGAATTATAAAACCTTATCTCTCCAACTCCTGACACATGGCCAACAGCAAAAAGTTGAATTCGGAGATTAGAGCCCAAACCACCTCAGCCTACTGGGAGAGCAAGAAAGGAAACCTTTGCCATCAACTTGTTCCTCCTAGTCCAGAAATAAATGGAAGGAAGGAAGGAAGGAAGGAAGGAAGGAAGGAAGGAAGGAAGGAAGGAAGGAAGGAAGGAAGGAAAGACCCATTTTCCCAGAAACTCATGGTTTTTTTTTGTTTTGTTTTGTTTTTTGGTTTTTCGAGACACGGTTTCTCTGTATTGTTTTGGAGTCTGTCCTGGAACTCGCTCTGTAGACCAGGCTGGCCTCGCACTCACAGAGATCCGCCTGCCTCTGCCTCCCTAGTGCTGGGATTAAAGGCGTGCGCCACCACTGCCAGGCTTTAGAACCGCATATCTTTAAATACTTTTTACTGATTTATTTTTGCGTGTGCCTGTGTGTTTATGTGCCCCATGTGCATGCTGGTTTCTCAGAAGGCTAGAAAAGGGCACCGGATGCCTTGGAACTGGCTTTATACACAGTTGGGAGGCACCGTGCGGGTGCTGGAATTGAACCTGGGTCCTCTGCACGAGCAGCCAGTGCTCTTAACTCTGGGGTCATCTCTCCAGCCCCTCACCCTCCAGTCTCGCCCCAGCTTTAAGCTTTTCTCCCAACGAGACGATTTGGTTGGTCCAGACTCAATGCAAGCTAGATAGAAGGCCCTTGACTTTCACATCAATGCCCATACCCTAGCTGCCCAGACACTGGCATCGCTCACCCACCCCCTAGGAATGTGGCTGTACCCAGGAGACTCCCAGGCCTGGTCTCAGGGTCCACACCTGTAGCCATTGTGTTACCATGTTAGTGTTACATTTACAATCGGTCTACAAAATATGTATCAGTTGACGTCTATGCTGTGTGGGACACACAAAAGCCTAGTGTGCAACACACTAACTATATTTGTGGCCCCGGACCTCACATGTGTAATCACTTGTGGACATCAGGCTTAGGATGAAAGACAGAGCAGGATGCAGTAGAGATTAACAAACGTAACATCTGGATAGCTCACAAATCATTGCCATTACTTAATTCAGTAGATATTAGCTGCTTACGTATTGGGGGAAGGTTTTACTCATTAGTCTAGCATTAGAGGAGGGTGTTTTGGTTTTTGGTTTTGTTTTGTTTTGGTTTGGTTTGGTTTGATTTTTCTAGACAGGGTTTCTCTGTGGCTTTGGAGGCTGTCCTGGAACTTGCTCTGTAGACCAAGCTGGAATTGAACTCAGAGATCCACCTGCCTCTGCCTCCCCAGTGCTGGGATTAAAGGCGTGCGCCACCACTGCCCCTGGAGGCGCTTAAAATCAAACACATCTGATGTATAAACATGGCTGAAGGTGCTGACTGGACTTGACCATGCTGCTACGTTTCCTTTGGTGATGGCTTGCCCTCTGCTGCCTCTGCCGCCCTGGGTCTAATCCGTCAACGAGGCTTGCTGGCTCTTCCTTTTGTACGGCCAGAGAGTGACCCCTTCTCACCTTCTTCCGCTGTCCTGCCCACTGTGGTCTCTCTGGGTTGGCACACGCTGGACTGGCTCTCTGCTAACAGCCTCATCGTCCCTTAACGCAAGCCATGCTCCTGCTCCCAGACCTGACTCATTGCCTCTCCTCCTCCTCCTCCTGCTTTTTCCTCCCCCAGAATGATCTCTCCCTTGATGCCGCATGGACCGTTCTTTCATATAGCCCAAGCTATCCTCTATCGTGTAGCCCAAGCTATCCTCTAATATGTTATGTAGCCAAGGATGTCCTTGAAGTTCTGATCCTCCTTACCTCTACCTCCCAAAATGCTGGAATTATCGCTATTCCAGTCCATATAGTGCTGAGATTCAAACCCAAGGCTTCGTACACAATAAGAAAGCCTTCTACCAAATGAGCTACAACCGCAGCCCCCCCCATCCTTCAGGTCTCAACAAATGCCACTTTCTGAGAGATGTCTACCTCAGCACCCCTGCATGCCCTCCTCCTGCCCCTCCTTCCTGCCCCCTTCTTCTGTCACCCAAGACTGCAGAATGAACAGTGGATTAAACCGTCTCCCAAGCACTGGGCACAAAACTGCCTTCAAAGTCACCAAAATAGGTAGGTCACTAAGAAATGACCCTCCCTAGAGGAGCTGCTACAGAGAACTGAGGGAAAAGGAGTTCAGGAGGCGTGAAGAATCAGGCTGGCGGGCCACTGGGGATCAAGACGGTGTCTCCAGGCCATTGCACCCGCGCTTGCAATCGTGAAGGCTGTGCCAAGCGATTCACAACTGCCCCATAGACCTAGAGCCTGTGTGGAGAGGCTCCGCACCAATGGTCAGCTTCAGACTCCGCCAGTTCTGAGGGAATGTGAGTGGGTCTGATTTCTTTGAGAAGGTTTTTGTCTGTTTGTTTGTTTGTTTCAAGACATGGTTTCTCTGTAGCTTTGGATCCTGTCCTGGAACTCACAGAAACCCACCTGTCTGCTGGGATTAAAGGCATGTACCACTATCGCCCGCCTTGTGGAAGTTTTTGAAGGTAAAATTGCCGGGCGGTGGTGGCGCACGCCTTTAATCCCAGCACTCGGGAGGCAGAGGCAGTGGGATCTCTGTGAGTTGGAGGCCGGGCTGGACCGACAGCCTCCAAAACAATACAGAGAAACCCTGTCTCGTAAAAACCAAAAAAAAAAAAAAAATAGCTGTTACTTTTATGGGGGGGAGGGACAATGGTGCACATCTATGGTGGTCCAAGGCTAAGCCTCATTAATCAGTTCTCCCCTCCCACAATGTAGGGACCTGGGAATCAAACTTATGGTGTCAAGCTTGCCAGTAGATGCCTTTTAGAAGTTTGCGATTATGTAGATTATGTAGACACTATTCCTGGGAGGGAGAGTGAATGAAGACACCTGGAGCATGTTGACTTGGGGTAGAGCTTTGGGAAGCGGTCAGGAATAAGAACCATGTTGCTTTAGGATAGGGCTTTGGGAAGTGGTCAGGAACAAGAACCATGTTGCTTTGGGGTAGGGCTTTGGGAAGTGGGCTCACAGGCTCAGGGGGATTTTCTGCGTGGCGCTAAATGTTCTGAAATTGCTTGGGGCCGTGATTATATAACCATACATATGTAAGCCAACCCCATTGAACTGTACAGTTTAAATGGGCGAGTTGTAACCTATGTAAACAGCTCAATAAAATATCATCCAAAAGGTCTAGTTGCTCCGCCCCAGTGGTACCCACGGCATGCCTTTCCACCCAGGTCCCCCATGAGGCTGGCCCTGAGGTGTCAACACTTCCTGATGGTCCTGATGCAGCTGGGTCCTGTGGCCCCCGACTCTGTGTCTCAGACGGACGACTGGCCCTCACCTTCGGATCAGCAGAGAGCAACAGGGATCCCTAAGCTGGGTAGGTCTCCCCACTGCGCAAGCAGCGGTGGCGGCGTCAAAGCTCGTCTCTGCGGCTGGTGAACTTCCGCCGGCCTCCGGGGCAGAATGCAGCCTCTCCCAGATTCCGGACAGGCGCACGATGCCCCCCTGTGGACTAGCGCAGAAGGCTCCGCGTTAACATTGCTTTCAGAGGCCCGGGGAAGCGTGGGAGGGAACACACCTTAAAGTGGGGTGAGTGGGGTCTGGTACCACCCTCTTCTTCTTCTTCTGCGTTCCGTGGCCCAGCGCCCATCTAAATCACTGGCCTGGTCGGTTGCTGAAGCTGCGCGCCTGCATCGTGTTCCACAGCAGCCTCGGGACACCCGAGTCCCTGCTAATTCTCCTTCGGGGTTCTGCCTCCCAGCTGGGCCCTGGCTGGCAGCCAGGCAAGTCTGGGCTCTGTCCAGCTTGCCCGGGCGGCTGCCCTCCACGTACACTGACTCTGCTAATCGCCCAAACACTTCCAAGGGAAAAGCACTGTTCTTAGGGTCGTTGGGAGATGAGTCTAAGCCGCCCAGAGCGCAGGGCAGTTGTCCGTGGTCGGATGGGCGTTGGAAGCACAGGGCACGGGCACAGCAGAGGCTGGATCACAGTACCACTTCCTCTGCTCCCCAAGTCTAGTCTTTGCTGATCAACTGATTTTTTTTTCTTTTCAGTATTGGGGATTGAACTCAAGCCTAAGCCAATGTCGTCCCACTGAGCATTATCTCCGGACTGTGTGTGTTGTGTGTGTGTCCATGTGTGTTCGTGTCTATGTGCATACGTGTGGGTAGGACAAAATTCGACTGAATGACCAGAATAGCTGTCCCAGAAGGCCCCGAGGATCCTTCCATCGCAGCTTCCCCAGGGAGGTATTTGCAGGCACACCCGGATGTTTTCACTAGTGCTGGAGATTCAAGGTCCTCACGTGTGCGCAATAAGCGCTTTATTTACATCTGAGCCCCCCCCTTTCTGAAATTGACTTATTTTGAGACAGGGGCTCACTGGGTTGTTCAAGCAGGTCTTGGACTTAACGGCCCTCCTGCCTCTGTCTCCCGCGTAGCTGGCTTGGCAGACCCGTGGCACCAGGCTGACCCGTGGCACCAGGCCGACCTCTGCTGGACTAGTTCTTGACAATGACTCTCTACAGCAGCTGCACTGCAGCGGGGGACATTTGCCCTTTAACGTGGGTCTTCTAGAAATCGAAACACCAGTCCCCAAACCGATCCCTAACGTTGGTCTTCCGAGCACAGCCCCCAGCCTGCCCAGGAGGTGCGATCTTAGGCAAGGAGGTCTCGGGTAACCCTCATAGCGCCCCCTGGGGGCACGTAATGACATTTAGTTCCATCTACTGAATGCCTCTCCTGGGCACTTCATGCATTCCGTCTTCATGGCTCTTCCCAGTAACCCACGCGGGTATCATTGTCATCATTTTGCAGCAGAGGACACTAAGCAGGGCTGAGTGGCGTGGGCGATGGGACCAGAGTCCTGCTTTTAGGCTCCAGCCAGTGCGACTGTTCTCTGGCTGCTTCCACGCTTGCCTGGCCTTTCTGACTTCAGCTCCGAGAGGAACTCCGAGCACTTCCTCTCCTGTTTATGTCCAGGCCCTACATCCAGCGAAGTCCCCTGCAGGCCTTCCAATGGGGCCTGACTCTCATTCATCCAGGACCGCGGAAGGGCGAGTGTTGCTCGGGGGAGTCACGCAGAGCCTCTGAGGTACGTGAATGTCAGGCTGGCTGCGGGTGGAACCGGCTGTGGAGGGTGCATTCAGGATTCTAGTAAAATCTTTACCCGTACCCCAGATGCCGCCGGTGGCGACGCACACTTCCGGTTTTAGCCGCATAGCCCGGTGCATCTCCAGCCATGAGTCTCCTGGCCCAGGTCGCTGGGCTAGTTGCCTTAGTTGAGGGGTTCTGTGCTGTAGCTGACCAAGACCCAACCTGGAAGAGGAATCGTAGAAGGTTCCTCTTCCAGGTTGGATTTGGGAAATGAGGGAAAGGCTCCATCCAGTTAGCTGGGTCTGTGTTAGACGCTTGGACCGAGTCGTTCGCTGTTCATCGTTTAGCGCGTATTTTATATGTTTGGTTGTGAGCCTGGCTGTTAACAGCCGGGCCATCTCTCCAGCACATTTAACACATAATTTGAACGAAAATAATACCACATTGTGGCAGCTTGAATGAGAATGACTCCATCATCATGGACTCTAACCCTCTGAAACTGTGAGCCCAATCAGATGCTTTCTCTCAGAAGGTCACTCAGTCATGGTGTTTTTGTCACAGCAATAGACCAGTAGCTAAGGCATATGTCCAGCCTTAATCGTAAGACAACTGGCCAGCAAGTGTGGACTACCTTGGTGACAGACTGGACACCCGGGAGTCAGGGAGATCAGAGCTGACATCAGAGAGTCCCCGGGCAAAGCGGAGGGGACGGTTTTCTGTATGGAGACCCCGTGGATTAAAGCAGCAGGGCAGGTAGGTCTGTGGCCTGGGGCTGCAAAGGGCTCGAAGGGGAAGAGCCAGAAGAAAGGAAAACAAAACGAAAAGCAGAGAGAGGTTCGTGGAGCTTGGGGGAAGTCCTGTCTTTCTCCTAAACCGGGGGAGCCGGGCTGGAAATGGAGGGTAACGGGTGACACAGAGTCACACTTGTCCTTTAACTCTAGCTGAGTACTGAGCACAGGAGAAAATGTCACACTCGGGTCCCGGTTGATGGGGAGGCAAACAGGACCAAGGTCAAAGAAGTCTAGACGGACGGGCCTTGATGCTTGGCTGGAACGAGCACTGGAGAGGCTGTCGGAAGGGACCATTTTTAACTCTGGGGGAGGGGGCCTTGCTTAATACCGTCCCCCCAGAGGGATGTAGGACTGGTACTACCTGGATGGGTCATGCTGTCGCCCCCAGGAAAATGACCAGGCACTGCGACTTATCAAACTCATAGATTCTCTTGAAGTTGGGGAACTTTTCCTGAAGAGAAGGGGAGGGGGGTACAGACCCGACTGCAGCTACCACAGTCTACCGCAGAGATAGTATGGAGGGGGCCAGTCTCTAGCCCCTAAGGAGACCAACAGGATCCCATTCACCATAAACTTGAATGTCATCAGGCAAGATGCCAACATATGCAGTCCTGTGGTAGAGCATTATCTGTTTATGGTGTGACTTCTGTTTATGGTGCATTTGTTCAACTCGGTGAAGCTGTGATTCTTTGCCTGCCTGGTGGTCTGACAGAGAGCTGAACGGCCAATAGCGAGGCCGGGGCAAGGATGGGTGGGGCTGGCAGGCAGAGAGGACAAATAGGAGAAAGGAGGGAAAGAGCAAGGAGAGGAGGACTTCGGGGCCACCCAGACAGCCACGGAGTAAGAGCGAAAGTAACAAATACAGAAGTAAAGATAAAAGCCCAGGGGGAAAAGGTAGACGGGTTAATTTTTAAAAAAAAGCTGGCTAGAAACAAGCCAAGCTAAAGCCAGGCATTCGTACTAAGGCTTCGAGATTTATTTGGGCCCTGGGTAGTAGGCCTCCCAGAAAACAAACAAAAAAAGCCAAGTGAGACCCTAAGCGAGGCGTTCCACTGTTGAGTTCGAGGCTGTGGGCACACAACAGTCCAGGCACCGTCGGGATTCTCAGCCTGGGCTCTGAGATGGCCTATCAAGCGACATCTTGGCTTCAGCTAGAACACAAGTTGCAAAGGTAGAGAGGGAGGGACAGGCGCCAACAGCGTCAGGAGCTCAAGTGGGGCTGTTTGGAGCACTTTGCTTCCATTTTGAATAAACAGAGACACACACATGCGCGCACGCACGCACGCACGCACATGCTTGTGGCATCCTTCAAGTGTTCCACCCTGATGTCACTTCTTTTCAAGAGATCTTAAAAAGAAAAAGAATTCCTTGTGTATCTTAGGTATGTCTCCCCAATGGTACCCAGAAGTCTTTGGCAAATATGGGAACATTTTGAAGTGAAATGCTAAGCCAGGAAGTTCACACGGCAAGAACTGGTCTTTCAGGATGCCCTGGGTAGTCAGGCCAACAGGTTGTGTTCAGGACAGTAAAAGCAGCCAAATTACCCGGATGTTTGTCTAAGGCAACCTAGTGTTTTTTTGCATAGCCGGCCACGGGTGACGTGTGGGTTTGCCAATGGACCAAGAGAGGGTGTGAACAAATTGAGTGCCTTAATCGTCACCCGACAGTTTGGCTCGTGTTTTCTGTTCTAAAGATATTCACTGGAGCAGTGGAGAAGCGCAGGCGCACAGCGAATGAGGAGCCCTGGGAGGCAACTGGCCCCACGGAGGTGCACGGCGGTCAACAGCCGCGCTGCGCTCTTTGCTACGCTGAAGAAACAGTGGGCTGGGCTTAGAGCCTTACGCTGATGGGCCTTGAGCTTCGTGGCTGCCACACTTCCTGTAGAACAGGTCCCTGGCCCAGACCCAACCGCAGAGTTGGCAGTCGGCTCTAGGAGTAGGGTCTGCCTGGGCCGGCAGGACTCTGCTGAGGAAATGGGTGTTGGATGGCACTCTCCAAGTTTGGTGTAATGGTTATCCCCGTTACACCTCGGTGACAAGCTGGGTCGCTCCAGACGGCTCCCAGGCACTGAGCGTTGGAGGGGAGACTGAACGCCCTGCAACCCTACAGCTGTAAGCATTGGTTGGTGCTGGGACTTGGCCCTGACCTGTGATGCTATACTGCGTTTGCTGCTCTCTGAATTCCCGCCCTCACTCCACACTGGGGCCGGGTGGGAGGCTGGTAGGAAGGGGAACAGTCTACGTGGAAGGGGCACTTGCCCAGGGTCTTTTCTCCTTAGCTCTGAAGGTCTCCTTGCCCAGACCTGGCTGCTACGACTACAGAGTTTGCCAGTCTACAGAGAAGATACAGGGGCTGCTGCCGAGCAAGGCCAAGGAACAGAGATTCTTGTCAAGTTCTTAGTAGCTAACACCCATGTTGTCAGACCCGTGGGGCGAGGAGCCCAGCCATGAAATCAGATCGCCACCAAGTACTCAGGCCTGCGATCCCAGAATCTGACTGAGGCAGGAGGATCACGACAAGTTCAAAGCCAGCCAGACTAGGTTACAGAGTGAGACTGTCTGAAACCCCTCCGCTCTCAGAGCAGATCTAGATCCCTGCCTTCCTTAAGTCCATCATGTTACTGAATTCCAAGCAATGGGAAACAGATGATAATTCATTGGAAAAAGCAAAACCAGGAATCATGAATCCTCACAGATATGCCAGAGAATAAAATGGTTATTGAACCAGATATTCCATTGTTTCAAAGCACTTCTCTAGAAGCACCCATTGATGACAGGGAAAACAGTTTCACCTCGGCAGGTGGCAGCTTCAGTACTCAAATGAGTGTCCTCTCAGCAGTGAAACCAATGACCTAATGGGGGAGACTTCAGCACGAAATGTGTGATGCCCTTACCAAAGCACCTACAAGCTCAATGCGACAGTAAGAAAACACCAGGAGAACCCAGAGCGAGGGCTATTCCACAGAATGACTGGTCCTTAGTATTCAAAAGTATCCAAAGTAAACGACACAGACAGAAAGCCACAGCCACCAAATGTTTGTCCGTTCTGATCGGGTCTCTCACTCTAGAGGACATCAGCAGGACAGCTGGGGACAGCAGGATTAGAATTCCCTAGGAGACTGCTCTTCCCCAGGGTTAGGACATGAAGCATCAGGCTGGCGCCTTACTTTCAAATGGTTTAAAAAATAAATTTATATTTCTAAATCTCTTAAACACTTTAGGTGATAGCTTCTAATGAAAACAATTAAACTCAATTTTAAAAAAGTCACCGCTCAGCTGTCACAGGGAATTTGAGGCTTGAATGTACACATGGCTGTTTGGAGCCGACTGTGTTAAGAATTCTCCCTTAAAAAGTCAGTGGGCAGGGGGCTGGAGAGATGGCTGAGGATAAGAGCACCAGCTGCTCTTGTACCAGAGTTCAGTTCCCAGCAACCCCAGTAGGCTGCTCACAGTCACCTGTAGCTCTAGATTCAGGGGATCTGACAGTCTCTGCTGCAATCTGCCAGCTCTGCACACACACACACACACACACACACACACACACACACACACACTCACTCAGACACATACACAAGCACGCTGGCACTCACACTCAGACACACACACACACACACACACACACACACACACGCAGGTACTGCACTCACACAAAAACACCCCCCCATACACACACACACACACACACACACACACACACACACACGCATGCACCCACTCATACACACACACATGCACTGCACTCACACACAGACACACACGCAGGCACTGCACTCACACAAAAACACCCCCTTCCCCCCCCACACGCTCCTGTAAACAGCTCCTAAGAGCGACTCTAATGAAACTCGTGGGGTCACTTAAAAAACAAACAAACATCAAAATGGAAAGTGAGTAGCGGGGAAGATGGAAGGATCAGTGGGATGAATATGGTTAAAACACTGTGTACACATATGAAAATGCCATGATAAAGCCTGTGTTATGTATAGTTAACATAATCTAATTGAAATGGCTAAAAAGTAAAAAAAGAAGAATTTAGATTAATTGGGTTATCACCCTTTTCAAACTAAAACTTCTGCCAAGATTCACGTCAATATTAACAAAGCTTTCCTGTGTTGGGTTAGAGGTGAAGAGAGGGGAACATGGCAACACATGCCTGTGATTCCAGTGCCTGGGAGTATAAGACCAGAAATCCCAAGTCAGCCCCTCCTACACAACCATCAGAGGCCAGCCTCGGCTACACTGGACCTAAAACAAGCAAAAGATGGTATTTAAAGCCGACAGACCAAGCCAGGTCCACTGGCCTAGGCCTGGAATTTGAGCACCTGGGGGCCTGCAGTAGGTAGGCTGTGAGTTTAAGACTGGCCGGGCATTCGCTCAAGGCCTGGGCTTTCCAGCAAACCAGCTGTCAAAAACACAAAACGTGGCAGACGAGAGGCAAAGCTTCAACAGGGAAAACTGCCTAAGAATAAAAACAGAGGCTTCAGCCGGGCGGTGGTGGCGCACGCCTTTAATCCCAGCACTCGGGAGGCAGAGGCAGGCGGATCTCTGTGAGTTCGAGGCTAGCCTGGTTTACAGAGGGAGCCTGTTTGGACAGGCTCCAAAACAATAAAGAAACCCTGTCTCGAAAAACAAAACAAAAACAAAAAAAAAAAAGAAAGAAAGAAAGAAAGAAAAAGTGAACCATCTCTGGGCTCAAGCAGTGGTTCTCAACCTTCCTAATGCTGCGGCCCTTTAATACAGTTCCTCGTGTTGTGGTGACCCCAGCCGTGGAATTATTTTGTTGCTACTTCCTAACTGTAGTTTTGCTGTTATGATTGGTAATGTAAATATCTCATATGCAAGGTATTTGATATATGACCCCTGTGAAAGGGGATTGTGACCTATTCACAGGTTGAAAAACCACAGCTAAAACCCAAGCACTTGGGAAGCCAAGGCAGCAAGTACAGGGCTGGGCTACACCGTGAGTTCAAGGTCAGCCTGGGCCACATTGTGAAGCACTGTCTCAAAAGGGAAGTCTCACAATTAAGTGGGGTAAGGAGGCCATGCAATGGTTAAGAGTGTTAAGGGTGTTTGCCAAAGCTACCTACTGGGTTCAGCCCCTCAAAAGTTGTCCTGATAGGTGCGTGTGCACACTCACCCTCATACCACACACGTGCGCGCGCACGCGCACACACACACACACACACATTCTGAAAATATGTGTAAGATAGATACAATGTCTGGTTCTAGGGTTAGGGTAATTAGGTACAAGTTAAACCTAGAAACCCTTGGCAAGCCGAGGAATTAGAGCTAAGCTCATGAGTGGGCATCGCGATGCACTCACAAGATACCAGGTCACCTATGAATCAAGTCTGAGAAAATCAGGACACCAAGACACAACAGATTGTAAGCCGAGTTTAAAAGTGGCAATTGTGGGCCTGCACTGGTAATCTATCAGTAACTGTAGACACGCCCTTCCTTACAGCAACCAACGTGAAGATTTGTGAAACTGGGAAAACCACCCAAAAGCTGACTCAGGCAAGAATCAAGTGCCGGTGTTTTGTTGGGGAGGCTTGGAGGGGTAGGGAGAGCGTGATAATTTTGTGCATCTTTTCCAAGTTTCTTCACAATCTGCTGATTGGCACAACCAGCCGCATCCTGGTCAACAGCCAGCCATCAGTAGGGAATAAAGCAGTCTGGCCCTGGCTGTGGCACGTAGGTGAAGACGCAGCCAGAGTGTATTACCTGAGATCTAACTTTAAGGATGTCACTGTGAACACAAATCGAAGGACATTTATAAAATGCCAATTGCATGAGAGCCAACAATAAGCTAAGGGACAGCTAAGAGGAGACAATGGAATGCAAAACTAGTCCTAGCTTGGCAAGGAAAAACGCACATGAAGGACATGGGACAAAAATGGTATCGACCTCATGTTGTAGCAAAGTTGAGTTTTTGTAGCCCCAAACCTGTAAGAGAACCCACGTTCTCCAAAAGGCATGAGAGGAGCGCCGTGGACCAGCCATTGACGATGGCTCAGAACAAACTGCTGAGTTAGCAGCAGATACCTGAATCCTCGGCTGTTTGGGAAACTGAGGCAAGAGGAACTCAAGCTTGAGACTGACCTGGTCAGTCCAGTCGGCGTCTCAAAATAAAAACTGATGAGCAAACATCATGTTGGCCGTAGGTTCAGCCCTAGTTCCACAAAAATAGAAAAAAAAAAAAAAGATGGAAATGAAAAGGCCCTGTGGTCAAGTGCCAAGCATTTGTGAGTTTGTAAGAATCCTCAACGCTAGTCCTGCGCGAACAAGAAAGGGTATTCGCTACTTGAAGGATTCGCTGCCCATGTGCTTGCTATGCACTCAGCACTAAAGCCGTGGCCTTGGTCCCTGCTGGGATGAGCATCCTAAGGTCTTCCTCATCTAGAACCCCAGCATTCAGGGTAGATTTCATTCAAAGCCCTGTCTTGTCACTGTCACTGTAGGCAAATATCCTTCCTAACATTTGTAAAATGACCGAGGAACAGGAAACTTAATTCGAGTGGATATGGTTGACGTATACTATAAGAATAAAAAAAATATAATTTAAGCCGGGTTTTGGTGGCGCACGCCTTTTATCCCAGCACTCCAGGCCAGCCTGGAATACAAGAGTGAGTTCTAGGACAGCCTCCAAAACAGTACAGAGAAACCCTGTCTCGAACCCCCCCCCAAAAAAAAAACAAATTAAATAGCTGGATCTGGCTCCCAGCACCCACAGGGCAGATCACAGTACCTGTGACCCCAGTTCCAAGGGCTCTGACACCTTCTGGTTTCCACAGGTTCCAGGGATGAAGGTGATGGAGACATATATGTAGGCAATACATTCACAAAAGGTTAAAATGGTAAATTTTCAAAAAGTATAGGTTTAAGTTTACAAACCAAGAGGATACATTTTACAATGCTTAACTTTATCATCCATGAAGAGCGCACATTTTAGGCATGATTTTGCAGATATTCTTAAGTCATTTCTGCTTTCTTTGGAAATCAATACGAAAACATTAATTGTCCTGAGGCAATCAATGCTACATTGTCCCAGGAGTTCTGGACCTTCTCTCGGTGCAATAAATCAAGTTGCAGTCTGCTAGGGATCACAGCAGCAACTGTCAGTCACTTCAGTGCTAACACCCCGCTCTGCCTGCCTTACTGTGATTCTTGTCTGGTCACAAGCTTACGGCCAAGAACTAAAACCCAAGGTTCTCCCCATAAGGCATGGATAAACTCTGGTTATATATATAAATATATATATACATATATTATATATGTGGTCTCAACATAGCAGCAAAAAGCACAACTCCCATATATGATGTAAGGCAGACACACTGGCCCACAGAAGCCAAGCACACACTGTGAGCTCATTTAAAGTTCAGGAAGAACAAATGTATGATAGTCAGGCGTGTTTTCATTTGGAGTGTATGGGGGGGCTGTAATAAACAGAGGGGAGGCACAGGGGAACCTTTGGACGCACTGGAAATACTGTTTTAGGTGCTTATACAGGTATAAACACTGGTCATGGATACTCACGTGTGGTGACACATGCCTGTAATCCTACCACTCTGGAATCCAAAACAGGAGGGGGTTCTGAGACTCTGAGGCTAGACTGGTCTATGCTACAAGCCAGAGCTACAATGATACCATCTCAAACATATTTATACGTACTCTGCTTTTTATATTCAACAGAACACTGATTGAAAAATTATACAAAAGGAAGTAAAATGTAGGTATTGTCAAGTCAAAGGGCATGGATCTAAGACCTTACTAGACCACTACAGAATAGCTTCTATATGGGGCTGTGGGTCCACACCAAAAAACACTGACCTCACCAGACCACTACAGTATAGCTTCTATATGGGGCCGTGGGTCCACACCAAAAAACACTGACCTCACCAGACCACTACAGTATAGCTTCTATAAGGGGCCGTGGGTCCACACCAAAAAACACTGACCTCACCAGACCACTACAGTATAGCTTCTATAAGGGGCCGTGGGTCCACACCAAAAAACACTGACCTCACCAGACCACTACAGTATAGCTTCTATATGGGGCCGTGGGTCCACACCAAAACACTGACCCATCAATCAAGTGTTGGTTTCAGTCCCCACTTGTTGCCAATTTCTTCTTGGGCAACAATTGCCATTTTATCTCATGTGTTTCTAGAAGCCTGTTCAGAAACTCACCGGGCCAGCATGCTGATTACACAGGTTTAAAATAAATGGGTCAAAAGAATGCGTGGCATTTCCAGATGGTCCAGACTCAAGAGCAAACATTTTGACATTGATTTTTGTCATGCCTAGATGGAGGACCCATTCTCCTAAGACCTGTTCATTTCTCTGAACTGCCTCAGAATATTCACTGGAAAGCAAGCAAGCTTTAGCCACTACGTATTTTGACAAACTTTCAAATGTGCTGTTTGTCTTCCTGCCCAGGTTCCTGGGATTTCAAGTGGCCATTTGTGTGCCTCTCCAGTGAGAGCCCAGGCGCATCACCGATCACTTTGGGCAAGTTTTGTCTTAAAGCCTCTACACACAGTAGTGTCATGAACCAGTCCCAAAGGGTGGTTTGGAGAACTAAATTTAGACTAGGCTCTGCCTCTCAGCACTTGGTGACAGTGAGTTCGAGGACAGCCAGGGTGCGGAGAGCTGGGTTGTGACAAGGTACCCAGTAAGGTTGGGTGCAGTTCTGCCGTGAACCTACTGTGCCTGGCCTAGAGTTCCATTCTAGGTAATGCTCTTCAGTATTGTTCCTCCAACCAGACTTTCTCCTATAGTTACAAACTGCCTGTCTGCATCCCATCAAGGTAGAGACTACAATCTCTGCTTGCCGTAGCTGCTGTCACCTCTAGTGCATGTTGCTGGTTCTAACTATAGTGCATAAGTTACTGTAAAGAACCGTTATTTGTAAATCATTTACCTATACAAAATTACACCTACTAAAATTAGCTCAAAACTCAAAACGATGTAGATTTAGCATACAGTCTAGTGCATTTTATATCTCCCATCGACTTAGTATGCTATATCAATGGTCATCTTTTTGTGTAATCTTTTTGAAAATACATACATATGCCCTGGACTGCAGAAGGAATGTTAGTTTGAGTTAATACTCCATGCTACTTCAAGTTTTCCTGGTATTCATCAACTGAGTGACTTGCATGTTTTTCTGCCCACACTTGCCAGACTAGCTTTGCCAGTGACCACATGGCACTTAAACCCCATCTGAAAGGTACCCAAGCGGCAGGGAGACGGGAGGCTGCTCACATGAAGACAGGCTCTATTTGAGCAGGTGGGGTAAACATGAAGCAGAGAAAGGAATCGATCCAGTGACGCTCTGTGCTGTCCTGAGGTGTGACTGCTCCAGTGCACTGGTCAGCTCTACTGCAGTCTGAACCAAACTGGTCATTTAACTTCTGTCAGACTTGGAGCAACATACCCATTAAACCCGTTCAAATCCCAGCTGGAGTCAGGCGCCTTATTTTGCATGGAGAATAAGAAATCCCCAAGTACCCTCACTGTGTCCCACACAGAGTCCATCTGAGCTAGAGGGAAAGGGGTAGAAATCGGGGTGCATGGGGCAGAGCAAATGAAGCCCATGCATCTGATCTGTGCACGCCGGAGGACACATGGGGAGATGGGAAGTCTAGCCGGTTTCTAGTCATACAATATGCTTCAGCACAGCACTGTGTCAGCTGTCTTTTCTGCTGTGCTGCTCAAATTCCATTACCAAGTTTACATTATAAACAAAAAGCCAATTTAGATAAAACACTAGCTTACCCGATATAGCTAGTCAGTAACTAGTTATCTCCAAGTCACTATCAACCTAAAACAGGCGAAACTGACAACTGGCACAAGTCTTCAAGGATCTCTTCTTTAACATGTACACAACTCATAGCCAATTCCTATCCAGAAACTGCTCACTCACCCATTTCCCTGAAGGGCACATCACATCCCCCCTATTGATGGTAAAGAGGTTCATCTCAGGGCAGAGAAGTGACTTAGTGGTTAAGAGCACTTAGTGCTCTCTTGCAGAGGGTTCTGTTCTAAGGGATCTGAGGCTCTCTTCCAGGCTCCATGAGCACCGAGCACATAGTCAACACATCAGCAACACTTCATGCACATAAAATTAAAACAAAAAACCTCATCCACACTATAAGGTTCTAAAGAAACCCTGTAAGGAACATGTTTTTAGTCTAAGCGTGTTGAAGCATGACCACAACCTCATCTGGGAGTATAGCTAGGTAAACGAAACCCATCTTCTGCACACGCCACAAGCTACCATATGCAGCCAGAATTTCAGTTTTCAATTAAATAGGCAAGTCTAAGCCAGGCAGTAGTAGGGCACATCTTTAAGACCAGCACTCAGGAGGAAAAGGCTTGGTAGACCTGAGTTAGAGGGCAGCCAGGTCCACAGAGAAACCCTGTCTCAAAATAGACAGACCTGCAACTTGTGTAAAGATCTTTTAGAATATTGCTGCTGTTCAGTCTTTTATTAAAAAAAAAAACTCCATGAGAAACTGACTACCCAAAATATAACATCTTCCTAAAACTTTAACTTCATACAAACTCTCAAACTAGAACCTACTTCAAAACCTGACACTTTCTGCACTAAAATTGTGAGACAGATATTTCTCTGCTGTCCTTATATACCTCCAAAACCCAAATCAGGTGACATTCTATAACTAATCCCAGGTCAAACAGAACCATATGGGACTCCAGCACTTGGGAGGTATTCAGTGGACCTGAGTTCGAGGTCAGCCAGGACTACAGAAAAAAAAAAAAAAAAAACCCCTGTCAATGCGGGGACACACCCAGAAAAACACTGCCCTTTTAAACTTAACGTTTAATCAAACGTATTCTAAGCCAGACAAAACCAAGTCAGGATGCCCACAGTATGATTTTCAGGCAGATTAGGGTGAAAATTTGAATTTCAAAATCAATGTGAAGTATATTCTGGGCACAAAGGTGTCACTCTCCTGTGCTCTAAGCATGGTCATGAAATGAGATTTTCAGCTTGTCAAGCTAAGTGGCTATGCACAGGGGTGCATGCCTGTAATGCCAGCACTCAGCTGCCAAATTTGAAGCCAGCTTGATCCAGAAGGTAACAGGCCAGCTACAGGAGGGCCTGCCTCGGTTTTTTTTTTTTTTTAAAGCACTTGGGAGGCTCTGGGAATTCAAGTCCAGCCTGGTCTACAGAGTCAGTTCCAAAACAATAAACCCTGCCTCAAAAAAACAAAAAAAGGTCAAATTCTGGATGTATGTAGTAGCAAAGGCAAAATCCTATCACTTTTGAAGTAGAGGCATAGCTATCTCTGAATTCTAAGCACGCCAGGACTACAGTGAGAACCTGTCTCAAAAAATAAAAAGGACCCACTGGTAGTATGAGATGAAGTTCAAAACAAAGCAGTTTTTCAAATGTACAAATGCTGCTCATGGGTGTGGGGAGGAGATGCCTTGGTCCTGCCTCAACGAGATGACTTCAGACTTCCTACCCTCTCCAAGGAGCAGATGGGGGGAACTGGTGAATTGTAAAAAAAGAGTAAAACAGAAAACAAAAATACCAGCTTTATATCAACATTGTAATCCAAGCCCCTTAAGACACAACCTTGTACCTTGTTTTTCAAGTGGTATGGGTGACAGGTTCACCACAATACTCTAAAATGAGGCCACAGTCCATAACTAGAGATAAGGGGGCAGGTGTAGCATAGTGCCCAATACACTGAGTAGCTACTGCTGTCCCCAATAAGGGAGAAACCATAGTAGTGATACTTATATAAACCAACACACTCACTCACTCATACACACACCCTTCTCCCCCATTAGGTCAGCACCTGCTACACAGGCCAACTGCCAAGAGAACCAAAGTAAACAACAGCATAAGCATCCACTGTTTAAGGAATTTTTATTAAAGCAAGAATTTTATAATCCAAATTACGTTTCCTTGCTCAGTCATCAGCTCCGCTACTTGAAACAGAGCTGACGTCCCAAGCTGTTCCACAGTAAAGAATTACAAAATTAAAGAAAGGAATGCTTTAAATTTTTGTACTTTGCTGAAAATTCTTTTCCCAGGGTCTATAAAACATTAATTTGTTTTTATATTTTACTATTTTTTTGTATTTTTTGTTGTTTTAAAATCAAGTAATCTAGGACTAGCATTGTTTGCTAGACCTGGCATTTGCTCGGTACATAAGGTTCAAAGTTTCCTTTCCTTTTTTTATTTATTTTATATTTTGCAATGTTTTTTCATAATATTTAAATTTTTCGATGTTTAGATATTTTTTCTTCGGTGAAGCACGAGTTTCTTTTCGTGGTCCCTGATCAATCTGTAATGTTAAAAAAGAGCAATAGTAACATAATTAAAGTCTTTGAATCTGCCCGTTTCTCTCTTTATTGGCACAAAGCCACACCCACTCCTTCAACCATCATACACAGCAGGGCCCACAAACCTGGGGAATCTAAGCAATTAACAAAAGGTTCTGCGCCAAAATTTAGTCCCCACCAGACTCCCAAGCACCAACTCTGTTTCCTGGTGGTGGGACAGAGGCCCAGAAACCACGGAAGCCACCATCCGATTAAAAAAAGCATCAATGAGAGCCAAAGTTTGTTATAGGCCGTTTCATACAAATCACAAAACAAGCGCTGACAATACACTGGTCAGCATCAGACAAGGCCCTGTTGGGTGTCGCCTCTCTTCCCCTCTGAAGCATTTACTGGCGAAGTGTCTGCTATGGATGGGACACACTGAGAACAAGACAGAACTCACTTAAACAGATGGGACACCAGTGGCACTGTTCACTGCCTTCTGGGCAGCCTCTTTTGCTTGGTGGGCTTGTAGTACAGCTACAGCTTCATCAACCTAGAAAAGGGCAAGCATCAAGTGTCAAAAAAAATATCAGTAACTCAGAAATCCCCACCAAAACAAACGCAGACCAGAGTGGAATGAGCTCTGCGTAGCGGTCCCCAATCCGGCCGCAGTGCGGAGCAGTATGAGCCTTGAGCAAATCATTCAAAACCAGAGATATTTATAAGGCGGAGTACCTTTGAGCGGAGAGACTCGGGAGACTCAAGCATATGAAGTAGTTCTGAATTATCGATCTCCAACAGCATGCCAGTGATTTTACCAGCCAGAGTGGGGTGCATGGCTTGAATAAGAGGAAACAGCCGTTCACCTACAAACAAAAAATCCTATCAAAAAGCAGTGATGGCCATTATCAGCCTGTCACAACCTCATCACTTCTGGAGAAATCTACTTCTCAAATGTCAGGACCAGTTTCCTGGGTTTGTTCCAAAGCCGGTGTGGAGACCAAAGGGAGCAGAGGCCACCACCTGTCTCTGTCACTCAGCTCCGGTCTCAATCCCTTCATACCACTACTGCCCTCTGTGCCACACCGGGGTTTCCGTCACTCACCCAACATTTGCTTTTGCTCTTGAGGAGGGGCAGATGCCAACATGGAAGCAGTTAAAGGCTCTTGACCTTGCACATGAACAGCCGGCTGCTGCATGGTGACCTGCGGCTGTGCGTTCAGGTGCTGCTGGGGGTTGCGGACTCCTGCAGCGTACTTATACTGGGGCACGGTGCGGACAGCAGGGGTGGCTGCAGCAGCAGCAGCTGCAGGACGCGGACCCATGGTCTGTGTTGATGTGTTAGCTAAAGGGAAAACATCTTAGCATCGTGCTAGTTCAAGCTGGAGATCTTTTTTTTTTTATAGAAAGGGTTAAAACTCACTCACCAACACGCTGTGTGGACATGACTCGTGGGACCTGTGAGGAAGCTGGTCTCATAGTACTAAATGGTGGTCGAGGAGCAGCTGGGCGGATAGCACCGGGCATATTCTGGAATGCTGCGTTTAAAGAAAACACATGAACCTCACCAAGTGAAAGCCAGTGCTTTTCCAGGGTTGACGTTTACATGAAAAGCTGACTCTTAATTGTACATGTAACTTAGTATTTCAGATATGAAAGACTAAAGAGAAACACACGAGCTCCTGTAGTCCTGGCTGCTGTGCCATGGGCAAGGACCAAGATGTCACAACCCTCAGGCTCCTGGATTGTAGAAGATTGAGCTCTGAAGTTACAGCCACACAGGCAAATCCCCAATCACACTCTCATCCAGGGAAAGCAAACCTATCAACTAAGGATCCCCGACCATAAATTACCAAGAGCAATTACCACTCTAAACAGGACAAATTTACCTCCTACATGGTACAATGAACCCACAGCCTAGCAGACAGGAGGTCATGTGTTAAATCTCTTGAGCTACACCCCAGGCTCCAATAATCCCAGTCATAACTAAGAGGCTTACGATGAGGTCTGGCACCCTGAGCAGTCCAGCGAGGACTTGGTCTTAGTTGAGCAATTTGGCTAGGAGGATAGTATGCAGCACGGTTCTGAGTCTGGAAACACAGGAGTAGTCAGCGTTAGTGGGGAAGCCTCCACAGAACATCTACCAATGTGCCCCCAGTGACCTCGCCATCCCACTCAGTCCCATCTACAGGACAGCCCAGCGTGTCCTCACCTGTGGGATAGCTGCCATGAAGTAACCTGAAGGAGGTGCTGGCTGGTAGGGGTTGATCACAGGGTTGGGCACAGCTCGCACACTCGCCATTCTCTGCATATACTGGTTAGTGAGGTGAGCCTGGCGCTCTTCTTTGCGCTGAGCCAAAGCTACATATAGTGGCTTTGTGGCCACAATTCTGCCATTCATTTCTGTAACTGCTTTAGTGGCTTCTTCAGGAGACGAGAAACACACAAAACCAAACCCTTTGCTGCGGCCACCCTCCATCATGACCTACGGGGAAAACGGACAAGTGTGAGCGCCACGGCAGAACGACAGAACTGGCCTCACAGGCCAAGTGACCCTGTCAGTGCCAGAGCCATCCCCACCACACGAGTGAGCTCCCCACACCGGCATCACTGAAGGCCAGCAGTACAACCTATTATCTGTGTAACACCGAGGAATAAAACGCTCAAGCCCAAATGTTACTTAAATCAAAAATACTCAAAACAGAAAACAGATGAACAGACACACCAGTAAAAAAACTGCGCAGGAAAGACAAGGATACGTCTCACTCCATTGACCAGAAGCTGACTAGAACAACTGTCTCCACTCAAAACATCCCCACCAAGCCAATGCAGGAAAGAACCGCAACCAGCTCATTTGTGACCAGAAAACAAGACCTTTGCCATCGTATTCATTCTTGAGCTGCTGGGCAAATTTTTTTTTGAGACAGGGTTTCTCTGTATTGTTTTGGAGGCTCTCCTGGAACTAGCCTCTAAATAGTTTCTGACAAACTTTAGTCAATGGGAATGTCTGAAAAATTGGAATAAAGACCGACCAGCAACCATCAACACCAGGCAAAACACACAGCAGCAATTCCCAAACCAAAATTGTCAGAAATTACAGTGAAAGGGGATTTCAAGTGAAAGGAAAATAGAACCTTTGCTACTGGGGGGGGGGGGGGGGAGGAGATGATGACCCAGAATAAATTATGTCAACAGACGGTAAGTAAGGCCTCAGTAAATTGCTGTCAACAGTTTGCAACAAAGCTACCTAATAGCACCTACTAATTTAAACTGAAACCCACAGGACCCGCCATCCTCTCTCTCTCTCTCTCTCACACACACACCCATCCATCCCACGCTCCCACCTTTGCACTGGTGATTGTACCAAACGGAGAGAACTCTTTGCGGAGACGTTCATCATCGATGCCATCATCAAGATTCTTCACATAAAGGTTCACACCCTGAAAAGAGAAACAAACTGAAGAGATGTAGGGAACCCACCACACCTGTCTTAGTTTGCTTGTTCAAGTAAAGCCAAACCTGGTATCTGGTGATCCTATCTTGCTTCATCTGCTCAAATTTGCGCTTAAGTTCTGTCTGCCGTTCCACTTTTTTCTGAGCTCGACCAACATAAATCTGTTTTCCATTGAGCTCCTTTCCATTCATCTCATCCACAGCCTTAGAAAGAAAAAACAACAAAACTCAGTTGCTTGCAAAGGCACATCTCATTAACAAGGAAAATGTATCCAAAGTGAGATTAAAGATAGACCCCCATCCCCAAAAGCCATGCTTTGAGCAGTAAGTATACACTCCCAACTCTCTAACAAAATGCAAACAGTTGATTACAGTATGTAAAGCTTCCTTTAACAGTGTTGACAGAAAGAACTATTTAAACTTACTTTCTGTGCATCCTCATGCCTCTCAAAGCTTACAAATCCAAACCCTTTGGATTTTCCACTTTCATCGGTCATCACTTTCACACTTAAGGCAGGCCCTAAAAAATTAGAATAACAAAACTGTCAACTAATACACACATAAAACAAAACTGCAGAGCACCCCAGCCTCAAGCTCTCAGATATTTGTTTTTTCATAGACCCTTTTCAATATGTTTTATACACTCCTGAAAATTCTTACATTGGGATGTCCTACAAACCCAAAACTTTCATTCCTAGTTCAGTAGAGTAAGTAGGCCTTTAAATAGCTAACTTGATTGATTTTTTTCTCGCTCAGAACTTGAAATGGCCTTCTTTGGTCATCTGTTGTTGAACAGGGGGAACACTAGATGCTCAGGCAGAAAATAGCTTAACCACCCAGAAGGTTTTTTTCAAGACAAGCTTCCTTCCACCTGTGTGGCAGAGTCCACAGCAGGTGACACCTCAGGAGTGAAAACTTCTACAAGTACAAAGAATGGTGGTTTACATGATGATCATGGACTCACCCATGTACTGTAAGCCCAATAAACTTGCCTTGGTCAAAATGTCTTAGCACAGCAGGAGCAAAGTAACTAAGACAATGGTCAGCTCAGCATGTGGGAGAGGGAGTATAATTAAAAACAACCAGCCCAAACTTGGCATGTAGGAGGCAGAAGATAGATGTCTACAAGTTCAAGGCCAACCTGGTCTACATAGTGACCCTCAACATTCAAACGCAAGTAAGGTAAGTTAGATGTAACACAAGAAGTTTCTAGAATGAAGAAGCTTGAATAAGGTGTAAAACTTTTATGTATCTCGTCTCTTTGCTCAAGAGGGTCCAGCCAGGTGGTGGTGCATGCTGCCTTGGTCCCAGCTCTCACAGGCAGGTGGAGCTCTGCAGTGAGACCCTGTGCTTTTTAAAGTCAGGGCTGGAGAGATGGCTCAATGGTTAAGAGCACTGGCCGCTCTTGTAGATACCATGAGTATGTCCCAGCAACCACATGGTAGCTCACAACCATCTCTAGCAGGAATAGATTCCTTCTGGTGTGCATAAAAACAGTGCACTCACACACATAAAATACATGAATACATTTTTTTAAAATTTTGAGACAGGGTTTCTCTGCGTAGCTTTGTAGCCTATCCTGGAACTCGCTCTGTAGACCAGGCTGGCCTCGAACTCAGAGATCCACCTGCCTCTGCCTTTAATAAGTGTCAACACAGCAAGCTCAGGCTGGCCTTACAATGGTATTAAATGCACTAAATACCATTTGAAGAAGTGAACAAAAACCCCCACAAACCCTAAACGTAAACCTGTCTTAAGTTTCAGACAGCAGCAACCCCCCTACAAATTCTCATTTCCTCATCGTTTTTACTCCAATTCTGAAAGTGAGACTTTGAGACAGGGTTTCCTGTAACCCAGCCAACAGTACAACCAACTCCTAAATCCTCTGCTCCTCTCCGTATGTTGGGATTAAAGGTATGCACTCATGTCTTTGGAAAGAGTCCTCCAAGGAGTCATGACAGAAGACTCTGGATCTTTGAAACCACTTTAGCATGTTCCTGACACTTACCACATCACTTAATGGGGTCAGCTTTTCCATCCTACATGCAGATTACACATGACTCAGGACAGTCTTATCCATCTACGAGACTGTATTAAAAAGTTCTTAACCCAGCAAAACCTTTACACAGAATCTACTCAGTTGCCCGCTTTACCCAATGCTTTTAGTAAACTTGCCCCACAACATTCCACTTGTATGTTACTGCTGTGCAGCTGACTATTCAAATCAAATATTTAAAATACCGTCCAGTTAAGTATTTACTTAATAACTTCAGACAATTATTTTGAGTGTAAAGATTTAACTTGGACACATTACCAAACTTGCCGAAGAGATCTTTAAGGCGCTCGTCATCCATGTCTTCTCCAAAGTTCTTGATGTAAACGTTGGTGAACTCCTTTGCCCTGGCTCCTAGTTCTGCTTCGCGTTCCTTGCGAGACTTAAATCGTCCAACAAACCTGAGGAAATGTCAGTAAAAATGCCCAGTTTACGAAGTGTACCATAAAATAAAAATGTCTTCACTGAAAACGGGTAATTTTAAATACAACCATCTCTCTAACTGCAACTGAAACACAAATAGGTTTTTGCAACGCACTTCTATCCAGCTAACCCACGTTAACACAAGGAATGCTCTGTGCCAGAGACCCACAGATGCTTTTATTGCTGTTTACTAATAGAACAGCCTGGCCTAACTGCATTACTAATGAAAAACAACTAAAAACTCAATTCTCTAATATCAACTATAAGACATACAACAATACACACTGTACCAGCTTCTATAACCCTGAACAAATCAAGATGACTTCACAGCTTCTTCTGTTCAACATCCTCAAAAGCATTGGCGGGCTTTCTCCATGGGAGAGTGTTTCACTGTAGATACAACTTTGTGTTCTCCCAAGTAGAACGTTAGCCATGTCTTATTAGGAACGAACAAATTATATGATCAAACTGAACTTTTTCCCAGAACGATGCCTCATTATGCACTTAAACCAGCAACTATCAGTCTGTACCTGGATCTTGCCAATGCTGACATTCTTTCAACTTTTACTTAAGCACTGCTATCAAGCTGTCTATCTGACACAAGCCCAGAGTAACCTCTTGTGGCCACAAGTGTCTTGTAGGTCTGTAGGCTTCCCTGACTGAGCACCTGTCTGAAGACCTAACACCCAAGTCATGCTGATGCTTTAAGTGGCTGATTGCAGAGACTCCTCATCTGTGATCCTTCACTTTAAAAATGTGGGTGTTCCAGCATTTGGATGGCAGAAGCAGCCAACTGAGTTTGAAGCCAGCCTGGTCTACACAGTGAAACCCTGTCCTGGGGTTTCTGCTAAGGATTTTTCTATGTAACTTCAGGTTGGTCTTTGGCTGCTCAGGAGCAGGGATTATGTGTAATATGCTACCCCAACAGCAAGCTGATCGAGCCCCACAACAGCATGAAGAGTCTGTCAAGTCAAGCTGCAGGCCACTGTACTCATACATCAACTCCCACTCCAAGGCCTAAGCCACTTACACGGCCTTCTGCACAACCCAATGCTTTACACGCGCGTCTGACAACAAGCAGCCTCTCAGATTAGTTGCTGTTGCCATTTGTTAAAGTTTTATTTCAGGAAAGACCAACGACAAAACCTCCTTTAACACCAGAGCTGCCTTCAGACTGCTGGGGGCAGTCAGACAGCTCACTCATGCCTTACGTAGTACCTACAATTAAATTACTTTGGTCAGTTTCCCCAAACCTGAAAGGAGCCAAAGGTTGCACGGATTCCCAATTCTTCAACAATGCACTCACCTGTCCCTACACACCTGGTTCAATGTAGGTTTGAATGTTGAGACAGGAGTGAATGTCGAAACCGAGCCACATGGCTTGGCACTGTTGCTTACCATATGTTTTGGTGGGTTTGAGACCTTCTCTTGTAGCCTAGCTGGGCTGGCCTTAACTCACTGATCCTTATGCCTCCATCTCTCAGCGATGAAATGACAGGCAAACACTACTGCAGCTAGCTCTGTCTCTGGTCCTGTTTTCTGTTGTTTTTGAGACAGGAGTCTAAGCTCAGGCTGTCCTGAACCAGGCAGGCTCTGCAGTCAAAGATCTCCTGCCTCTACCTCTCCAAGTACTGGGATGTCTAGCCCCAGCTAGCTTCATCTTAGAGATCTCTTCCTTTTCACACTCATGTGGAGCTAACTGTTAAAACAGACTGAGCCACACTTACACTTTCCGGTCATTTAGAAGCATCCCATTCATCTTTTCAATAGCTCTTTCCGCAGCTTCCTGTGTTTCGAAGTGGACAAACCCATAGCCTTTGGAGCCATTTTCATCACAAACCACCTGGGGAGAAAGGACACACGCTCACTTTGCTTTACTTGCTCTCCTTTCCCAGCTATTTCGGAAGTAAGCACAGCCAACAGCGTCAAGGCCTGCGGTACCCTTGCTCACCTTACACGAGAGGATGTTTCCAAATGCTGAGAACGTATCATACAGTGCTTTATTGTCGATGGATTTGTCCAAATTTTTAATGAATATGTTGCCTACTCCACTTTTGCGAAGTGATGGATCACGCTGAGACCACATGATGCGAACTGGCTTGCCCTTTATAACATCAAAATTCATGGTGTCCAAAGCACGCTCCGCTAGAAAGACATTTCCAGAGTAAATGCCACTAACCTTTCATTAGCCACCTTATTTTTGGATAGTTATGCTTCACATGAAAAAAAAATCTATCCTACAATTACAGGACCCACTCATATCTGCCTCCTGTAATGGAATCAAGTGTGTACTACTACATCTGTCTCTTTTTGGTTTTTCAAGACAGGGTTCCTCTGTATTTGAGGCTATACTGAAGCTTGCTTTGTAGACCAGGCTGGCCTCAAACTCAGAGATCTGCCTGCCTCTGCCTCCCGAGTGCTGGGATTAAAGGTATGGGCCACCAACAACTGGCTTATACCTGTATTAAACGGAGAACTAAAACCTCAGATAAAAGACCAGTCCTTAAAGAGTGAACAGTTCACTTGAATCCCTGAAACAAATTTCAAAATAGTAACTGTAAAGTTCTGACAAGACAAATTCCCAGACTGTCCATGAATTCAAGAGATGAACCCAAGTGCTGGGATTAAGCGCAGGAAGCACCACACCCAGGCCGCAGTCACTTTTTGTAAATGAAAGTTCCAGTTCCTAGAATGATCAGCACAGCCAGCTCACTATCAACTGGCCACACCCCCTCGGGTCCCTGGTCCTGCTGACTCTGCTTGAGCCTGACAGCTTTTTTAGTGAGTCACCTCTTCCTAAACTAACAGGACCTGTCCATTACTGCAATACACAATACTGTAAAAGGGGGAAATCTGGTTAAAATCCCAACTATCTGTAAAGATGGTATATTGGTCATACACAAAATAAATGGGAAGAGGCAAAATTTCTGAGTAGTTAGTAAAGGTCCAGAGGCACAAGCATATACATAAGTTAACTAAGCATGGCAATGTGAGCTAACTTTTCAAACCCCAGACATTTAAAACCTGGGTTTTCTGTATTAAAAAAAGTTAGCCAGGCGTTGGTGGCCCACACCTTTAATCCCAGCAGATTAAAGGCAGGCGGATCTCTGAGTTAGAGGAGAGCCTGGTCTACAGAGAGTTCCAGGACAGCCTCCAAAGCAATAGAGAAACCCTGTCTCGAAAAACAAACAAAAAAGTCACCAAGCTTAGTCTTTCAAGTTACATAGTCAGAACCTGGTAGCTTGCTCCCCAGTTACGTGGACTTATCCTGTGACAACCCTGCCTGAGGTGAAGGACACTCTTAGAGCCCCCTAAAGGCCAAAGGTCAGGAAATCTGCAGTGCAGGTTTACAACTTTGGCTCACTGTTAACTCGGCATTGCTGCTTAGTTCAAAATCTCAGAATCAGCTTTAACCAAATGAAGGACTCATTATTAGTCACTAACCCAATGAACTCAAGTTGACTCCAGTCCTTCCCATTCAAGTAAGATCAAGAGAGAAGCGGACTTCTGAACTCAGGCTCATCTACATTCCACCAAACTGCTTATCAGGCCATAAGCTTTATCTGATGCCTAAATTTTTGTTTCAGTGAGATACTAGTTACTTTGTGCTCAAGATTCATGAATACCCTCTCTGGACCACTTAAAAAAGAAAATAAACTTCGTTCCCTTGGATGCTACTAATTCAGCGTAATTCAGTCCACGTTGCTCTAACATTTAGGACCAAAACTAGCCACCGTGGCGTTTAATATTCACGACCACAGGTGCTACTCTAGAAAAAATCATGCCAGGACGTGCACATACACGACTACTCGGTCGGGACGAGCTAAGCGCGGTGCCGGGTGGCCTCCTCGAGGGGGAAACCCCCGCCAGGCAGGCGCACATGGCGCGGGTGCCTTTCCGGGTGCGCCGGCCAGGGCCGGGCCCGCAGGGGCGGGCCCCCCGGGGACCCCCGCCAGGCAGCAGCACCCGACTACTTCCTGCTGCAGCCACGGGGGACGGCGCAGGCCTCGGGCCTGAGGTTACGGGGCTCAACACGTGGTGCTCCCCCGGGCACCGGATCGCGATCCCTCCGCTTCCCCCTCCCTCCCACCGCCGCACCGCCCGCCCCCGGGCCCCGCTCGCGGTGGAGGCGATCGCGACCCACCCCGGCGGCGCGTCACCGCCCGCAAAGTTTGCGAGCGAGCGGCGACGAGAAAATGGTCGCGGCGGCGGAGGAAGTGGCGGCCCGCGAGGGGGCTGCCGCGCGCCGCGCCGCGCTCGCCCGGCCCGCTAGGCCCGCCGGGGCCCCGGCCGCATGGCCGCCCGCCCGCCCGCCCGTCCCTCCCTCCCTCCCGGCGCCCGGCTCACCGTCGGCCGGCTGCTGGAAGTTCACGTACGCGTAGCCCAGCGAGCGGCGGGTGATCATGTCCCTGCAGACCCGGATGGAGAGGATGGGCCCGGCCGGGCTGAACTTCTCGTAGAGCATCGCCTCCGTCACGTCGGGGTGCAGGTCCCCCACGTACAGGGAGGCCATGGGGTAGCTGGGGGCGCTGGGGTTCATCTCGGCACGGCTGCCCGCGGGGCCGCAGGCCGCGACCTTTCCCGTGAGAGGAGGAGGAGGAGGAGAGCGAGTGCGGGGCGGGGGGCCGGCGGAGCCCGGGGGGAGGGGAGCGGGGGCGAGCGCGGAGGGACAAAATTCAACCGGAACCGACGCGTCCTCAACGGCCGTGGAACCGGGGCGAGGCGAGGCTGGGCGGTGCTGGGGTCCGGGCGGGCGGCAGGAAGGCCTCGATCTCTGGGTTCCTGCTGGAGAGCTGCGGGGCCGCGGGCGGGCGGGCGGGCTCTGCTGGCTGGCTCTGGCTGGCGGGCGGGTCGGTCTCGGCTGCTTCACCGGGTTATTTTATAAAAGAGGAAGGAGAGAAGAAAAAAAAAATAAAAAGTCTCCGGCGGAGGGGAGGGAGACGCGGAATTTTTTTTTGTAAAATATATATATTATTATTTTTTTTTAGTTTTTTCGAAGGATTTTTTAGATTTTTTGGATTTTTTTTTTAATAATAAATGTGTGTTCCGAGCCCGGAGCACACACTCCGCACTCTCAGCACTAACCGCCGGGGAGAAGGGGAAGCACCTCCTCCTGCACCCTCTACTTATACCCCCCGCCGTACTCGCCCCGCCCACGCGCGTCTGACGTCACGGCCCTACGCCAGCGACGGCGCCCGAGAGGGCGGAGGGAGAGGCGGCGGCCGCGGCGACTGCGATCGTAGGAGCGAGGCAGGGAGGGGGAGGGAGGGGCGTGGCTGCGGCTGCTGCGCAGGCGCCGAGGCCCGGGGAGGGCGGAGCAGCCGCGTGGGGGACGGGGGTGGGAGGGGAAAGGGGCGTTCCCGGAGCGTCCTCTGGGTCCCGCCCTCCCTGGCGCGCAGGCCCCGCCCCCTCCGCCCCGGAGGAGCGTTAAGCCGTCGGCGCGGCGGGTGGGCGGCGCGCGGGGCTTCCGGGTTTGCTCGGCGCCAACCGTCCCCCACGTGCGCACGCGAGCTGGCGGGCGAGCTCCTCGCTGCGGCCTCTCCCTCGGCTTCTCCCCGCCAGCCGCCGCCGCCGCCCCACCCGACTCCTCCACCGGGGCCCCGCCCCACCCCCGCCCAGCCCCGAGCGGCCCCAGCCCCGGCGCCCGGCACGGGTGGACCGGCGTGGGCGAGCCTCTCCCTGCAAGGCCCGAGTTTCCGAGATGGGAGCGGAGGGTGGCAGGGTAAACTGCCCCGGTCTCCTACCCGGACCGCACTACGAGTCCCAGCGGGCAGCGCCGCCACGCGCGTGGGCCGCGGACGCGGTGCCTGTCGGGAGCTGGAGTTCTCAACGGCCGCGGGGCTCGCTGACCTCCACCGGACCCCAACCGTCCCGGGCGTGACCCGCTGCGCGAGGGGGGGAGGGGAGGGGGCCGCTCGGGGTCACGGAGCCGCTTGCTGCGTGCAAACCCGAGGGGGGGAATAAAAATGACACCCACCCCCCTCTAAAGTACGCGTCTCTCACGACCACTCGGTAGCTGTCACTCTCAACCAACCTGACCCGATCAGGAGCAGGCAGAATCCCGCGGAGCCTGCAGAAACCGGGCGCGCCGGCCACGCCTTTAACGCAGCACCGGGAAGCCCTAGGGCAGGCAGATCTGAGTTCAGGGCCAGCCTAGAGGTCTAAGCTACAATATCCAGGCCAGCCAGGGTTGTGGGTTTTCAGGCAAATGATTGGTAACCACCAACATAGATATGTATCCGCTCGTAGAACTTAATCTCTACATCCACACAAAAACCCCTCTTTAGAATAGCAAATTAGAGCTGTTTTAAAGGCGGTGGCTCAACGCCCCTTAATCCCAGCACTCCGGAGGCAGAGGCAGGAGGATCTCTGTGAGCTGGACCAGCCTGATCCACAGAGCGAGTTCCAGGACAGCCTCCAAAGCAACAGAGAAGCCCTGCTTCGAAAAACAAAAGAAAACAAAATGCTAAAATAGCAAATGTTTACAATAGTTTCTAAAGTCCTATATGAACATCCTTTGCGTGGGTACTAACTTTACCGGTAACAGCCTCGGAAGTTAAATGACTGCTGGGCTCTTTGATTCAATGAATGATCGTTGGGCGTACTTATTAGCCTATTACTTAGTATAGATTAGTTGTAGCTATGCTCATTTCATTAGAATTTAAGTCGGCATAACCCTACACAGGAACTACCCGCTCCATACACACACACACACACATATCGGTGGGAGATAATAGTTTTGGAAAACATGTTGCTGTGCGCTGTAAAAATGAGTACAATTTAGGACTGTTCTCTAGGAAGACATATCTATTAGTATGCAATGTAAGACTTTGTTCAGTTAACAAGGAGTCTAGTTAAAATAGTCCATCAGAAAACAAGTGTTCACGTGGGGCACACCTTTAATCCCAGCACTCAGGAGTTAGAAACAGCCGGATCTCTGAGTTCAAGGCCAGTCTGATCTACAAATCGAGTTCTAGGACAGCCAGGGCTACCATGCCTGATGGCCTGAGCTGTAGATCCCAGGCCCACAGAGTGGAAGGCAGGAACCAACCCCTGCAAGGGTTTCTGGGAGCACACATTCCAAGGGGTGTGAGTGTAATGCCACTAATGCCATTGTAATAACGTGTGAACCAAATACTATTGTAATAAACTTGTGAATGTAATGTCATTGTAATAATGCGTGAAGATGACTTGTGTGTGTAAGGACTCAGGCATTATGCTGGTCTGCCCTTGTCACCTGGCAGAATGCACTCAGGCAGTGCCCTGGTCAGCCCAGGTGCAAAGGACCATTTGTTTATTTATTTATTTATTTGGGTTTTGGGAAACAGGGTTTCTCTGTGGCTTTGGAGGCTGTTCTGAAACTCACTCTGTAGACCAGTCTGGTCTTGAACTCACAGAGATCCACCTGCCCTTGCCTCCTGAGTACTGGGATTAAAGGCGTGTGCCACCACCAGCTGGCTCCAGCAAACGTTTTCTGGTGGAGCCCACAAAGACACGGTTGTAAATAGCAGAAATGGAAAGCTCATCTATGTGGATTCCCACAACTTTATCAGATAGCAAGTTTGCCCAGCACTAACCTAGACTGGGCTGAGAACTCTCCAGCCTCCAGGTCTAACCAGAATGAATTGTTAAAAAATGTTTTTGTTGTGAATCCATTTTGTACAAAGTTCCATGTGGTAAGTCTAATTAAGAATCAGCCTCCAGGACAGCTTGATACAGGAAATGGATGCTCGGGGGAAATGGGGAGAAACGTTCTAGTCACCAGAAATAGCCTTTCTCTGTACATTATGGTTTGTTTTGTTTTTGAAGTAGAATTTCCTCTATGTAGTCCTGGCTGTGCTGGACCTCATTCTGTAGATCAGGCTAGCTTTAGAGATCTGCCTCTGCTCCTGACTGCTGGGATTCAACTCATGTAGCACAATGCTTGGCTATACGTTAATTAACTCTTCTGGGAGAGAGCTGATCATCAGGCCTTCTACGCCACAGAAGTTATTGGCATGAACTGGATGCCATTGTCATAATTTAGGAGGGACAACCGTGCAAAGGAATCTAGAAGCAGAGACTTCCCTGAGCAAGGGAAGCTGGGAGAATCAGGAAGGCGTTGGAATCCACCTGTGATGGACATTCCTGGTTGACTATGTCTGGAATGAACTACAATCCAGAAACGGAGAGCATACTTGTGATCTGGAACTTGAGTCAGAAAGACCACACCTTTTAATCCAGAATGAGAGGTGAGAAGGCACAGGTTTTTTGGTTTGGTTTGGTTTTTGCTATTGTTTGGGTTTTTCTGAGACAGGTTTCTCTGTAGCTTTGGAGGCTGTCCGGGAACTCACAGAGATCCAGCTGCCTCTGCCTCCCCAGTGCTGGGATTAAAGGCGTGCGCCACCAACGCCCAGCCAACTCAGGTTTTGATCCAAATCTTTTTTTTTTTTTTTTTTGGTTTTTTGAGACAGGGTTTCTCTGTATTGTTTTGGAAGCTGCCCTGGAACTCACTTTGTAGACCAGTCTTGGTCTGGAACTCACAGAGATCCACCTGCCTCTGCCTCCCGAGTGCTGGGATTAAAGACGTGCGCCACCACGCCCGGCTTGATCCAAATCTTAAGGCGGGAAGGCACACCTTTTATCTGGGCCACACCTTCTGCTAGACAATGGAAGAAGGGTTTATGCTCTTTCTTGGCCTGCTTGCCCCCACCCTGTCAACACACGCATTCCTTACTGGCATTAGAACCTGCTTCCTCAGGATTCCAGTATATACAGAAAGCCAGCTGAGACACAAAGCCTCCTGGGACTGAGCAGCTACTGAATTCTTGGACTTTGCGTTCAGAGCTAGCCATTGTTGGATGTAGCTAGTCTTTATCTGTCCCAAAAACCAGCTCCCAAATCACAACATGGAGATTCATCATGAAAGCTTGGTCCATAGCTTACGCCTGTTACCAACTCTTATAACTTAAATGAACCTATTTCTATCAATTTACTTTCTGCTTCATGTCTTTATTATCTCTTCTCTCTAGTCCCTACACTGCTCACTCTGGGACTCCCGGAGTCTCCTTCCCCTTCCCAGTGTCATCTCTGCCCCCAAAACCCTGCCTAGCTATGGGCAATTTAGCTTTTTATTAAACCAATCAATAAATTCACACACACACACACTCTAAAAGTTCTGTAACTCTAGAGAACCCCCACCAATACATATTTGGGATCAGGAGTGGCTCTAGAGAAACAGAAGTATAAAGGTCAATCTTAAAATGTCTGGAATAGCTGGGCAGTGGTGGCGCACGCCTTTACACTCGGGAGGCAGAGGCAAGTGGATCTCTGTGAGTTCGAGGCCAGCCTGGTCTACAAAGCGAGTTCCAGGACAGGCTCCAAAACAATACAGAGAAACCTGTATGTATGTATGTATGGTTCTTAACATATATTAGGGTTCTTAATTCACCAGCACCTTCAGACCTTCAGCTACTGGAACCTCTCCATTCCACCCTCTCTCCTGGGAGCTCAGAAAGTACTGGAAACCCATGGTGTAAACTGTATTTCCAACTTAAAGAGATAAATGCCTTTGATTATCTCCATTCGTCAATAGTTTTTTGGCAAAGGTTTTAATGAAACTTTTGACGGTTTGGGATAAGATAATGCTGCCTATTGGTTGCTCTTAATATCTCTGGATAAACTGCTAAAGCATAGTAATGAACTCCAGGATAAAATTAACCGACTTCAGAATACGGTGAATTACAATGAACTTGCTGATCAAGTTGATCTGCTCCAGATGCCAATCAACAGTCTAAGGTTTTCTAAGCGTGACCAGGAAGAGGATCTTCTCTCCGGCTGCCACGGAGTTCAAGTTGTGGAAAATCAAACTGAAGCCCTCACCGTAAGGTTGGCTGAACTACAGCGAAAACTCAAGCCTCAGTCTCAGAGGGTGTCAGCAGTTAATGTAAGGGCGTTAATTGATAAAGAATGGGATCTGGGGCGGGGGGTGTGTGGGAGGAAGCTGAGAACTTTGAACCCTCAGATTCTCAAGGCTTTATCTCACCCGAGGACGCAGTGCCCTCAGCCGCACCCCCTTTCACCTTTGACTGAGGAAATCAACCCTCCAGTGTCT